GTTTATTGTAATCTTGTTGCTATTTTTTCTTCTACTCTGAACCTAAATCTCTTTGGGTTTCTGTTATGGCATCATATTCTTTCTGCACAGTTTGAGAGAAATTGCTGGTGGTGCCTGAGCGTGGCTTCACTAAAACTACACCATATTCCTATAATTTTAAAAGGCCAAACTCACGTTAATTGTTTTTTTACCATCAATAGCCTTCTAAATTTTCACTCTCCGATCAGCACCTTCCATAACAACCAGTGTCATGCGCAACACCTACCGTAATGACCACATTGCTGGATATGGAAGAATGAATCAGACATAAAATGATCTCAAGCAAAGATGTACTAATTACCGATAAAAACAAATTCACTAAAACAAGACCATTTCAGAAGAAAGCACCGCAAAATATTGTTCCAACTACTGGAAGAGCAATAAAATCTCAAAACAAAACATGGGAAACTTTTGTTCCAATTACCGAGACACAAAATATATGACTAGAAAAGGTCGATGTGTCACATGTCAAAAACCATATGGAAAGACATAATCTAAGTAACTGATGACCAAAGGGTAACTGCCAAGATCACAAAATTATGCCTTGAGGCGTCCAAAGAACTTCTGTTTCTCTTGGGTTGTCTGGAAGCGACCATGTCCAAACTTGGAAGATGTATCAATGAACTTGAGTTTGATCTCCTCCAAAGCCACTCGAGATGTCTGGTTAAGCAGAGACTGGCGAAGAGTGACCACCCTCTTCTTGGGTCCAACACAGCATCCTTTGATCATTAGATAATCATCCTTCACCACACCATAGTGAGGGAAGCCACCCATTGGAGTAATATCTTTCTCAGTCCTGATTAAAAGTCCAAGTCAGAATGCATCCAAACAACAGGAATTGGTATAGATGAAAAAACAGACCGCAAAAACATTAGAAATTAGGACTAAATCTATAAGAAAAATTATCCAGAGAAAACAAAGTTATACAGAGATATTAAAAGGGTTAATGTTTCATCGAACAATCAACTGACCTGTCATATTCAGTTATGGCAGTGTGGGACTCGTCTCCAGCCTTGCCAATCTTGTATACCTTCTTGTTCATCTCAGTCCTGTGGTGGTATCCATTCTGACCAGCCCTGGCAACAGTGAATGAGACTCTAGCAGGATGCCAGGCACCAATACAAGCCACCTTTCGCAGACCCCTGTGGGTTTTGCGCGGAAGACGTGTGACACCCCAACGAGTGACAACACCTTCATAACCTTTACCCTTTGTGACACCAATGATATCAATCATTTCATCCTTCTGGAACACAGCATCAATTGGAACTTGCTTCTCAAAGAATTTGTATGCAAAGTCCACCTTGTCAACAATAGTGCCACCATTCACCTGGATTTCCATCAAATGGGCTTTCTTTTGCTTTAATCCCTTCATCTTCCTAATCTGTAGTTAATAAAAATGAACATTAATGAGAAATCATCTATAAAGTAACTAACCAAAACCATTACAGAACATAAACAGAGGCTCAATCAACAGCTAGAGCTTTACCTGAGTGTGAGCCAAAACCCTAATAACAGTCGCATATTTCTTCATCTTCTCCAGCTGAACTTGGATGTTCTTCTTCCCCTCATCACTTTCATACTGCTTTGAGTATTTGGTGAAAGCCTTCTTCTTAGACTTGCACCAGTTCTTGTAGAACCTTCTTCTCACCTCCTCACTCAGATGCTGAGCCCAGACAGTGTTCAAAGAACGGAGACCCCGTGGTGTCTTCACATAACCAACAACTCCAACAATCACCATTGGAGGAGTTTCAATAAGGGTAACAGCTTCACAAGTCTCCTTCTTGTGGAGTTCTACATGACAGAAAAAAACAATTAGAATTACAGGGCAAGTTTCAAACTCTTGAAAATATTGCAGAAATTGCAAAACCAAAGACACATATAGAAGCTGAACAAAATATTGTTGAGTTGGAACACTAGAAATATGTGATTAAAACTTCTAACAATAATAGGTTCATTAATTTACATATAGAATAAAAAAATTGAAACCTATGGATACTCCAAATATTTGATAGTATAAACCACACTCATGTTTCAGGGCAGAATTTTTCAACAATAACAATTACACCAGACTTAAAACAACTTACTAGATCCAGGTTTCTCCACCTCCCTAACAATGTGAGTCATCCCAGCCTTGTAACCCAGGAAAGCAGTGAGCTTGCAGGGCTTGGTTGGGTCATCCTTTGGGAATGCCTTCACTGTAAAAATCAAAAAAGAAGTTTGTTACCCATAACCTGGGGTGGAAAAACAGCTTTCAATACAAGCAAGTCAGTACCTTTTCCTCTGTGGCGAGAAGCCCGCTTCCTTGGAAGAAATCCAAGGGACCCATGCCTTGGATGCTCAAACTTCCTGTGAGACATGCTTACCTGCTTTCCCCCAATCAAATCAAAAACAACCAAAATAAATAACAAAATTCCATTTTAATTGAAGTTGACAATAACTCGAACTCATACTAAATCTAAAAACGTGATCTTCCTATCTAAATTATCAAAAATAATTCATCTTTTATGAAATCAGAAATTCAGAATAGCATTACAAAGGCAGATTACTGTACAAGATCTATCACATACTACAAATAAACAGCTCTCATTCCACAGAACTCAAAGCTGGAATCATTTTCTTCAGAATGAAGAAGAAAAGAGAGCGTAAAACAGGAGTAGAAAACTCATTTTCTTCGAAAATACATTACTTTCTAGCTAACCAAACATAGAGAAAGGGAAAAAGACGGGATCCGGGGCACACCTTAGGATGGAGTCTTCGGCGGCTGCTCCTCCCACTCCGCACTCGCTACGCAGAGGAGACCTAAAACCCTAGTTGGTATTTATATAAAATATCAATTGAACCCATATGTTTTGAAATTGGTTAAACTGTCATTTTGGTCCCTTTATTTTTTCAAAAAAGTTTTTTTAGTCCATTTATTTAATAAAGCCTTATTTTAATCCCTAAAATTTATTATCCAACTCCTTTTTAATCCTTAAAATTTATTATTCCACCCTTTTTTAGTTCATACATTATTTTTTTATATATATAGCACTTTAGATGATGAAAATTTCAAAGTAAAAGCACTAAAAAGAAGATTTTTTAAAGTAAAAGAATCAAAAAAATATTTTAAACCCCTTTTTAATCCTTCTATTTTGAAATATCTATTATTTAATGTACAACATGTATAAAAAATAAAAGAATGACTAAAAAGAGACTAGATAATAAATTTTACCATGTGTATAAAAAATAACAAAATGACTAAAAAGATGTTAGATAATAAATTTTAAAGACTACAAAAGAATTTTTTTAAGAAGAGAGACTAAAAATTTTTTTTTATTAAACTAGAAGGACAATGGAGTTTTCTGACAATGCGGCTCTTCGGTTAAACCTTAGACTAGAAACAGAATTAACGGGCCGAGCCCATATGAGGTTATTCATGAGCCGGGCCTAACCTTCTTTGAACGGCATCGTGTTGAACACTAGGGTTGTTTTTGAACCTCTTTAGAGAAAAAAACGACGCCGTAGAAATGATTAGGGCAACACACTGGCTCTGTATAAATATTGTTCTCTGAGAAAGGTTCCATTTGTGCTTCCCTGATTTCATAACTGCAAAACCAGATCGACGGTTTTATTTTTAATTTTTTTTTTCTTTAGATCTTGAATTTTGTTTAGTGTTTTTTTTTTTCGTTGTTTGGTGTTGGATTTATTTATATATTTGGTAGGAGAATGATGAAATTTTGATATTTGGAACGCAGCGCCATCGGAGGCCGATGGTGCTATGAGCGGCAATTTCCACACGAGATTTCTGACTCTCTCCAGATTTTCTTTGATTTTCCTAACATCCAAACAGGGCGGAGTAATAGTTAGCTTTCAGCTTCGTTCTTTCAATTTATTTTTTCGTCAATTTGTGTGAAATTTATAATATATATATATATATATATCAGAAATATATGAAAATCAAAATTTATAGTATATATATATATTGCAGAGAAAGAACTTTCATTTTCCCAAAAAATCAAAAGTATTGTTGGTATTTAATTGAAGCTGTCTTTATTGGTATGTGGATTGAGTGTGTTTTTGAACTCATTGACTTTATTTAAGTAAAGCTCTGTATAAAGGTGAGGCAAAATCTTATAAACTCCATATTTTCAATTAAGATTTTAAATTTTTATTGACATAAAAAAAGTTTTTAAATTGAGTAATTTGAACAATTTAATTTTTTTAAAGTATTAATACGTTATTGTTTAAATGATAATTATTGACAAGATAAAAAAAAAATGACAATTATTGACTTTATCATACAAATAAAATTGATCCATACAAATAAAATTTGTTGGGCAGTCGAGCTAAGTCTTAAAATGTTAAATTACTTGAATTATTAAATTTAAAAATTTATTTATTTATCAATAACTTAAATAGTTTAACACTTGTGAGTAAAATAAGATCACAAATTTAAATTACATGATATACAGGTAAATTAAAATAAAAAATAAAAAATAATTATCTTTGTAAAAAAAATATTTATTTTAATTAAAATTTTGAAATAAATTTGAAGTTTTAATTTAAAGTTTTTCCTAAATGTAATTTGTGAAAATTTAAAAATAAATTAAATAAATTTGAAGTAAAACAGTAAGATGTTATTAAAGATGGTGATTTCCTCCAAGATGGGGGAACTTCGTAAGGATTCCCGTCATGGGAACGGAGGCATTTTTCTTTGTGAACGTCGGCGGGGAATTTCCTCTGCCATTGCACTTATGAAGATCCATATAAAATAAAATTTATTTATTTATTTATTTATATTTTTATGAATATATTATCAATTAATTTTTATTTATTCAATTCAATTAATTAACA